TATATATTTATAATTTTTATTTGCTTAATACTGGTCGGGGGCCGGAGCCCTAAAATAGGGGAAGCATTTCATATGTGCCCTGGAGTGCCAAAATTCTAAATACTGTCCTGATATACATACTTGAGGCTATTGGTATCGCACCATTGCGTAAAGTATTGAAATATTTTACATCATTAACGTGGCCTTTATAGTAGCTGTAGCGAATCTGAAAATAAAAACACGATAATGCATATATTATGTAATTGGTAGGTATATAACTGTTAACTGTCAATTATCCACGAATAGGAGAAAACTTGACAGATAAATATGCGTTCATCTTCCGATTTCAAAAACCCTGTGTGGGATGAGGCATTGTCATCAACAATACACTTTTCTGGAGTCCAGAGCACCCTCAGAATAAAATTTCGCAAGATTGAAATCCAATGGCCAAATTTGTATATTATTATGTTTTAGTATACTTCCTATAATCACACCAATATTTCCACTCTAATATAGCATAGGTACTATACTACTATACATCATCGTTAACACTTTTTCATTACAGAAATATTTTATTAAACTTATGACATGCCATAATATAGTAATGAATAGAATACCATTTAATTAAATATGTACAGTTAACTAAAACACGGAGAGACAATGTCCCCCCTCCCTACGGATGACCTTATCCGGGGAAAGTTTTAAGACTTGAGCTGATGTTCTCCAACTATTAACTAATAATTCCTATGGTTCCGCAAAGCGGATGATAATACAATCGACAGTTTATTGTATCATATAATAATATCTGTGGAAGATTGCTGTTCGTCGTTGCGAAATTCTAAAGTCGCTCATCACATTTCGATCGCACGCACGCCTTACATAATATATAATATAATATTATGTTATTACTGTACAGAGTGTTTATGACGGTTCGGTAAACGAAAGTTTGTTGACACATCTGGTGCGTCTACTGTCCGAGCAGACGACAGCGGCGGCGTGTCGTCCAATAGGATTTTGTTTTGTGTTTACAAAACACGAGTTTCAAGTCGCGCGGCGTCAACCTCTCCAAATAATGAAAAAATTACTTCACTTTTCATAACCATCATAACATGAAATAGGTATGTGTAGTTGAAAATAAAAATACATTTGAGACGAACACGCGTACAACGTATTTTTTTTAGGTAAACGTTGGGTATGCAATATATATATATCTATTATATATAAAAAAAAAACTGTAGTATATTTACTATATATATGTATCTTCCACATATAAATTAAACAGTCCATTCAATGCAATTATTTTATAAACTGTAAAAATATAATATTATTACATGTTCTACTGCATATAATATATTATATGTATAGTAATATACAATAGTATAGGTAATAGGTAGACCTCCATATTATAATGTATGTTGAATGAAACCGTCACAGGATTCCCGATTTTAAACGTGTTCAGCTTTTAGCAATTTTTTTTAAATTTTTGAATTTTCAGTAATCGTATAAGGTATGGTATAGGTACATTATAATAATACGATCATTTGCTTCAGTAATATATTATTATTTAAACTATCACTGCGATCTACAGGTTTATACAATTAAAATTCAAGTGTGTTTTGAATCATTAAAAAAAAATTTAGAAGAGTTCCCGGTGCGCTCCGATCACTCTTGGTTACGCCACTGCAGCTTATCTATAGGCCTTAGCCACTGATACGAGAGACGTGTCTGAATATGAAATTCAATCTGATTCTGGCACTCAACCACGACACTGCAAAGTCGTCGCTTAATCAATTTTATATCGTCACAACAAATAATATTATTATGATGATGTTAATGATGCCGTTTTTGCAGGATACTCGCAAAAAAAGATTTAAACAAAATTCTCAATGTGAAAAAATAAAAATACGCGAACAAAAAAAAAAAAGCTTCGAGTAACCGATACAATCGATATTATCGTGTACACGGCGGCGGCGGGCAGGTTCGTTGTATATATTATATTTTATATTAATAAAATATTATAATATTTATATTAAAATCAATAACACTCTGATGGGCCCGATGATGTATTGTTGTAATGACGGTGCATAATGTATATATAGATGATAGGCGCCGCTTGTGTACCTCGTTTTTTTTCTTTTCGTGTCATTTATTTTTGTGCTTAGCTTATTATATTACATATATATATTTATTGTGTTGGACTACTCGCGTGAAAAGTTAAGCGCACGACTACCTCCGCAGAATTACTTTTTCTTCTCTCCATCGTCCCATCCCCTGCTAAAGAAAACGTGTTCAATTTGTGGTCCTGTTACGCAGTACCCACAGAAATCTGATAGTTGATACGTACCTACAGTGGCGGCGTGAACTATTTTATTTTATGAGGCAAGTATAAATGCTCGACCTCCACCACCTAAATTTTATCACACAGACTCGTGGGGGCTTTGCCCCCACACCCCCAATTCACAATTCTACAACGATAATATACTTTATTGTGTTAATATCAGAAATATAATAAAATTATTATAAAATTAGTATAATTAATAGTATTAGACATTAGTTGACCATATTTATTTATTATTTTTATTTTTTTATTAGGGTTAAGGCTTCGACAACTTAGGTCATTAGCCTGTGGTACTGTAGATTTGTTACACGTGTCCGTACCTATATATATATATATATATACAGGTATCGTTAGTCACTATACGCAGTTTTCTTTGGACGTAGTATATGATGTGATATACAATCGCCGAATTTCCATGATCGAAAGACAAGTCGTGTATTGATAATATAATATAATATTATATACATTTTGTACATCTAAATGGCATTGTATTGTGCGCCTACAAGTTATTTTTTTTTATTATAAAACGTGCCGCACAGTGGGAGGATTTGACGTAATACCGCGACAAAAATAAAAAAAAAATATATCAAAATATAGATAAAAACTACGTAATTAACATTTGTTATTATCTAGTGGTCTTAAAATAGATGCTTATCTAAAATTATATTCGTTTATATCAATACTATAAGTAACCAGAGCGACGCTGCGACGGTAATTTTGAATAATCATCATTACCTAGCTACACAGTACACACGGTTAATGTAAATTCTTGTTTTCAAGTTTTACGAAATCTTAAATTATTAAGTTTATTTAGTTTATACATTTTATACAATTGAAACTATTGGACAAGGTATGTAATAGTTAATAATAATTTATTTAACCCTTCAATTAAAAATTAAATATTAAAACTGCAATTACAAAATACCAAAATAAATAATTTATTTTATAATTAAATTGATCTTAAAAAAAATAGCGTAAATTAGCACTCTAATTTTTATCATATAGTGTAAGTAAACTTACTATTAAGTCAATTTTAAATTTTGATCTGCCCAAAGTTGCCCATTTATGTGTAGTTATTTTTATAGGTATTACATACCGTGATTTATTCAATGCGCTGAGAGGTCCACAACGTCCACGACAGTTAAACCCGTGTTCCATCGATAGTCGTAAAATTTTGTTACATGGTTCTATTGTAATAAAACATACACTTGTACCAATAGGATTATTATCTGAAGAAGCGCAAGAAGCATGTAATAAAAATTATAAAAATTTTCGGGAAAATCATACTCGCAAAACATCAAGACTAAGTACCAATACTGACTTAATGCATGCTAAATTAATTAGTTCAGACCCAGTGATATCTTCTAAGCGAAAAATTTTGAAAACACCATTTACAGAATTACCATCCTCGGTAAAACAATTAATAATTACAGATAATGATGAAGAAACAGAAGATTCAGACGTATGTTCTAATTCAGAATAACATTTTTTATTAAATAAATACTGTATCTATTTACCTAACGTGTTTTCACACAATAATTAGAACTAAGCTATTTTATTAATTTTCTTTTGTAAATATAAACCTATACATTATAACATATTATTTAAAAGTTAAAACTATAATTAAATAAATATAATATGATTTTATTATGAAATATATTTTTGTCGCGGTAAAACCTCAATTCCTTCCACTGTGTGCCGTCAAAAACCATTGTTGAGAGGATTCCCGTGGCCCACGAGTAGATATTTTTTCATATATAATAATGACGTCGAAAATGACACGCGTAAGGACGTCATATTAGATTTATTTTTTGAGAGAATCGTATTTACCATATGCGTACAACAAAATGACAATAACACAACAAACCTTCTCACTTCTTCAGCCTCTTTATAGACTTATTATTAGTAGTCTTCCGTTGGATACGTATGTATGTGGGTGGGTGGGTGCGTGCAGAAGCGCGGTGAGGCATATTTTACTCTCATATTTTTAACAACCTGTGACCTGTCCTAATAATAATTACTAAAACACTAGTAAATTATAAAAGATTACCCATTGGCCATCACCTACCATCCTTTAAAAAATTCGGAAGCGAAGCTCCCCTTCACTACGTCGCTGGACTTTGTTTGTGTACGTTTTTATTTATCATTATACTCGAGGATATTATTTTTATTTATTGAAAAAGTTCGGACAGACCCATATACTTATATAATAGTATATAATATATTTAGTTCGGTAGTATAAATTATGGCAAATTAATTGGTACACACGTGTTCAGTGACAGATAACGGTTTTCAGTGTTATTTGTAAAATGGGTGGGTGTCAACTGTCCGAAAATCATATGTTCGAAAGTCAAGTGTTCGAAAATGTGAGTTCGAAAGTTCATGTCATCGAAAAATTGTGTCTTCGAAAAGCCATGTGTTTGAAAGGTAATTTGTTCGAATAGTTATGTTTCAATTGTAATAAAATATTATATATATTATTAAATTGTATTATTATTAAAGTAAAATAAATGTTAGTATGAAAATAAAAATAAATATTTATAAAGTTAAACTATGTGCAATGCCTTTTAAAAATGCCAGCTTTTACTATCGTCATCATAAATTCTAGGTAATAATATAATTAAAATGTATTATTAAAAATGTATAAAATAATTAATTTTAGTATGAAAATAAAAATAAATATTTATAAAGTTAAATTATGTGCAATGCCTTTTAAAAATTCTAACTTGTCTAAATTTTCGTCATCGTAAATTCTTTGTTGAATACATTTAAGGCGAGCATTTTGTACATCGACGTTCTTTTTTGCTCTTTTTGAAGTCCGTCCTTGTATAAGCTGTTCAACTGTTGATTCTGTTTCGTTTTGCACTTTTTGTATTAACTTAATGAAGTTAAATAGACCTGAAGCATAATTTTTTTTATTTTTAATATATTTCTAAGCTATTAATTTTTACAACTTACCTGGATTAGGAGAAACTAGTCTATTTATTTTTCTATGCCATGATTCTGCAACGTTTGTGGTTCTTGGCAAACCAAGATTTAGACGGTCAGCTACTGACCACATTTCTGGAGGAAACATTGGTGGATTACGTATGGTTTGTTTTGTTGGTCTTCCTCTCAAACGCATACCTGATTTTCCCAAAACATACGTTTCCTCAAAATATTGTGATAATTGTTGTTCTGCTTCGGTTTTAAAGAAAGGTTTCAATAATGTCCACCCATCTACAATCTTTAAACAATACTCATTTGTAATGTAAATTACAATTCAAAATTACAAAATAATAATTGCATACTAACCATATTAGCTGGTAAAAATGCCAAGGCAGGTATTTGCTTTGCTAATAAATTAAATTCTGGATCGTTAGAATACATTGAAGAGAGACCAAGACTTTGAAGTTTTTTGAAAATGTTTTGTGATAAATGGAAAAAACATGCAGAATGTGTTGCGAGAGGAAACATATCATTTAATGCATTAATTGCACCTTTTTCAAAATCAGTAACGATTTCTAAATCAGGATTATCATCAATTCTTTTATTATTATCATTGCAGTATTCAATTAAAAGTTTAAACATTTTTACGTAAAGTTCTTCTGTTTTTGAAGTCATTAAAGCATATACCAGTGGAACAAAAATGTGTTGTGTTGTATCATTTCCTCTCTTAATTAAACCATGAATAACATATAATTGGTAAAAAATATTTGGACACACTTTAAAAGTTCCATCTGCTATCCAACAGTTCGATTCTTGTAAAAATGTACAATTTTCATAAGTTGTAAACAACAAAACTTCGTTGGTTTTTTTTACTAAAAATGCATTACCTGATAATGTTTCACGCAAGTATAACGGTAAGTCAATTATATCTGCTGTTTGTGGCTCCAAGTAAATATCTTCATTACGTCTTTGACGTTTAATAATTTGTCGAGCCGCTTCTTTACTGACATGTGAATTAATTGTTTGAGACGTTCCTGCGATTGCAGCGTGGTATATTTGTATTGGTTTATCATGATTTTCTCGTGCATTTTTTTTTATAGTTTCTTTTATTTTTCTTGCTCCTACACTTATTGGATCAGCTCCGTGCAAATGGTCATTTTCAGAAAAAATACAATTCTTGTCAATATAATGTACATTATTTTCACAAAAAGTCCGAATTTTTGCACCACATTTTTTTACACAAGTCCAATAAAAAATATGTACATTGTCTATTTTTCTAATGTAGTCTTTATTTTTTATGTATAAATAATTATTAATACTTAAAACTACACCACCATGAATACTATTTAAAATTTCTATGTTCATTTTTAAAAGCACGTAGTTCAATTGCGTATGTCGTACTGTACTATGTTCCTGTCTCCTGTCAACGCTATAGCGTATTTTAGATAAAATGTTAACATGTATAGTATAATCGCATGAGGCATAACGCATATTGTTATACTTATCGATTGCTTAATGACATAACCTATTTTTCGTTATCGGACCACGTTCTAGATCGTATACATATAATATATATAATATTATATTTATTATTATTATAGATATATAATATTTTATTACAATTGAAAAAAAAACTATTCGAACAAATTACCTTTTAATCACATGACTTATCGAACACATGGCTTTTCGAAGATACAATTTTTCGATGACATGGACTTTCGAAAATACATTTTCGAACACACGACTTTCGAACACATGACCGTCGAACAGGCAACCGGCACCCTTGTAAAATGTACACACAAAGTTTGTGACTTCTACATCGTGATATGCATCATAATATACAGTATATTACACCATATATGAGCTTGCATGACAATGTTCTACAAGTCCAATACATCTTATTATGTTATTGTAATACATGTGAAATATATAGTAACGGACTACGCCTAACGGGTAATTATTATGAACCGATGAGGGTAGTTAAAAACGAAACTCATAATACCATCTGATATGGATTTGCGCTGAAACCATATTTAAGTACCTATACCTTATGTCCTTGAAAACAAAGTAGACTGTATAATTAAATTACCCATATTACTCAGTACTCTATACATATTTTTGAATTCTGTTTTAGGGACATAAAACTAGAATATTAGATCATCAATCACCCGCAGACAGAATTCTAAAATATGTATAGGATACTGAGTAATGTATAGGTACTTAACTGAGTTATAGAGTAAAGACAGTTATACCAAGTTTTCGAGGACACACGGTATACACTTTATGCAATTTACAATTTGACAATTGATAAGTATTCGAAATTCTGAGGACGTAGTTTCAATTCATATACACAAAAAAAAATAAAATAGAATAATATTTAAAAATTTAATATATTATGATATATATAGTAAATACATAATAATAATTAATATTACTTTACTATGCACTTTTACAAACACCACGCGAACCGTTTAAAATAGCATTATTTATCATAATATTATGGCATGAATTTAATTTTCATACGAGCTTTGCATTCTATATTATTTATATAATAAACTTTATATCTACCACACGCATAGTGCGATCTCCCTAAAAATGGAACATCAACTACGATCACTGCACGTTCAGATGCACTTAGATATTAAATATATATAATATGCAAGCTGATATAGAACCTATTATATTATATGGTAACATTTTTAATTCTATGGTACTTTTGGCTTTTTCAAATATATATTTTATACTATAACGTCTAACCTAACCTTGTAGGTACCTAATTGAAAAACGGCCAAAATCTTAATATTCCGAATATCTGCGGATGTACCGGCTTATCGAATAATATCGATAAATAAACTTTTAAATGTCGATAAAACAGATTAAGTATACAATTAAGCGAGTACGAGAATATATGCGATTTGAATGAGTATTTGTGTTAGGGCCAAGAATTAATTAACCGTATTAAACCGTGACACGGAGCGACGCTATTTAATCCGTCCGGTAGCCAATACTCAATTAAAAATTATCAAATATCATCGGTGGAATATATTAATATAATTTAGCAAATAACAAAAAAAGAATAGAGAACATTTCCGTGCCACTGGGAAAACGTGCTTATAAATCACTTGTTGTCAATTATATGTTTTCATCGATTGCAAATATTAATACTAAAGACGATTTTTTATTGAAAATAATATTATTTTGTGTGATAAATCCTGTTTTATTTCTTTTAACAAGTCGTGGTTATTAATCATTAAATAGTACATTGGATTACCATCAGAAGTCCGTAGATCGCTTCTGTATAATTTTTCTACTGTTTTATACAACTAACAAAATATAAATGTAATTAAAATTTGTTCAGGCTCTAATATAAGGCTCAAACTGCAAGTACGTATATAGAAAGCATAAACAGCTATAATAATATACATGGAAATAATACTGTTATAAATTATAATATTCAATATAGGTACCGCTATTTGAACGTGTAGTTTTGAGTTACTCAACTTTGTGTCCTACCTAAACTAAGAATAATTTGTCTGTGATAATATAAATTAGAAAAACATGGATTATTTTAGTTACCTATATCTAAATACATATTATATAAAACTGAAATCAAGTAAAAGAGGAAATCTTTGTTACGGTTTGGCTTCGAAACTTCTTATCCAATTGTCATGCAGTTTTTTTGAAATGAAAGAGAATATCAAGGAGCAGGTTTTAGGCATAAATAAAGTCCGATAATGTTAGTCAATAATTAGTTATCTATACATATAAAATCCAAATACCACTGACTCACTGATCGCTGTATCTCAAAAACTACTCAACGTACGTACTTGAAATTTGGAATAGAGGTTCTTCTCATATTTTCATCACCGTGCAATAAGAAAGGGGGGGACGAGGTGGCCGAGCGGTCTAACGCGTCGGCTGCGGCGCTGGCATCGGAGTGCCACTCCGGGGCATGGCAGAAACCTACGGGTGCCCCATTCGAAATTCTGCCAAAAATACACCCACGTGTAACACTCACCAACCGTTAAAAACCTACAGTACCAACCCCCCTCCCAATGGCCTAAGTTGCCGCGGGATAATTAATAAAAAAAAATAAGAAAGGATTTTCAAAAATGTTGGGTTTTAGTGGAGTAATTAACGATTATAATTATTCACTGCCAATACGTATTGTGCGGCCCGCGGGTTTCCAGCTACCTATGACCTATCCTTTTTGTTCGTCGTCGTAGTCGTGTAGATAAGAATAACGATTCCGAGAATAAAATTGTTCCGACAAGTTTATCGATAAAAATAATCTCATACATCGCGCATTATTATAATACAACGGTAGGCGGAATTAAGTAAAAACGACAAGTTTGGTATAACTTTGATACTTTAGAGTTAAATCACACTCTTCCGTACAAACAGCATGGGGTCCGCGATCTACGCAGGTAGATTGCCCACCTGTTAATGTACTGCTGCGATTTAGAATTTTTATTCCGGGCAACGGAAGAGATAAGATAAATTTTGAACACCAAACACCGAATATTGAATAACGAATTGAACATAGTTTGAGTTGATACATTTAACTGGCGACGAAGTGCACGGGATCAGCTAGTAAAATATATACAATATTGTACTTAGTTATAATATCAAAATAAATCTATAATAATTTTCCTTTTTTTTTTTTTAATTGTTCGACTATGATCAATACTGGATTAAATATTACAACTAAAAAAAATGGGAGTGATTACGCCCTGCATATTATAATCGTCATTCACCATATAAGTACAATATGATAATATATTTTCACCAAAGACAATGCGAGAAAAAAATCCGTCGATCATCAGCGATCGACATCGAAACGAGCCTTAACGATGTGCTCACATATTGGCACAATTATTCGATGCACCAATTAATACATCAGACTGTCATAATAATATATGTAGGTAGCATGTTCAATATACATATTAGGTACACGTCGTGTACTTTTAGTATACCGACTTGAGGTCTGACTTGTGCGGGTATATGCTTTCGACTTTTGACAGTATTGTACACAGCGAGACGGGCGATTGAGTTTTTAATGCGAATATCGTCGCACAGTCTATTTAAAATTATGTTTGAATTTTTTTTCTCGTAAATTTTTTTTTTTTTACACAAACAACGCTCGATCCGGCGGTGGCGGCGGCCGGTGCGAAGTGAAGGATACACGTTATTAAACGTCTCTGGCTGTTGGCTCAAAAACAAAATGCTGTTCCAGGTAAGTGCCGCGGAGCATTCCAACCATATAATTTGTTTCTTTATTTATTTTCGTCGTACACGGCGGCGATATAATAATAATCTACATTATACTAAGCGCGTATGAAAAAACGTGTCCGCCGACTAAATATATTATGATAATAATATTACAATAATTCATCGTAAACGAAAACACTCCATCACGGCTTATTATTATTATCTGCATTTGTACTGCAGTTATCGTTTGGTATAATATATTATATTATTTATTATACTAGATTTTGGCGTTTGTCATCCCGCCTGCGGCGGAAAGACTGTGTGGGCGGTGGTGCATCTTTGTCGGCGATGCTGGGTTTTTTGATCCGGCCTGCGGCGGGAATGGGGGGGTCGTCGGGTATTGTGTTTTGTCGTGTTGGCAGCACTGGTTAAGCGGTAATTTTTGAACTCGGAAAAGTGTCTAGTCGTAAGTTACTCGATTCAAGTCGATCGTACAACACAACCAGCCAGGTAGGCAATCCGACTACGTCGGATCGCAGACCATGCCCCGGGCGTGTATGTCCGGTTCTCGTATGTGTGTTGAAATCGGAAATGTTGAAATCGGAAATTCGGGTTCTCTGAGTTTGAGTGTCTAGCTATCAGTCATCTCGGGTGAAAGTCGATTCCCGAGTGTCGGATGCAGTGGGGGTGAAAGTCGCTCGTATGCAAGTAGCTAGTAAGGTAGGCAATCCGATTACGTCGGATCGCAGACCATGCCCCGGGCGTGTATGTCCGGTTCTCGTATGTGTGTTGAAATCGGAAATGCGGGTTCTCTGAGTTTGAGTGTCTAGCTATCAGTCATCTCGGGTAAAAGTCGATTCCCGAGTGTCGGTTGCAGGGGGGGTGTAAGTCGCTCGTATGCAAGTAGCAAGTCAGGTAGGCAATCCGACTACGTCGGATCGTAGACCATGCACCGGGCGTGTATGTCCGGTTCTGGAGTGTGTGTGTGTTGAAATCGGAAATTCGGATTCTGAGTTTGAGTGTCTAGCTATCAGTCATCTCGGGAGAGAGTCGATTCCCGAGTGTCGGATGCAGTGGGGGTGTAAGTCGCTCATATGCAAGTAGCTAGTAAGGTAGGCAATCCGACTACGTCGGATCGCAGACCATGCACCGGG